TGTTCTAGCAGAAGATTCACTCTCGTTTTGCACATTTCATCAGTAGGGGAGCGAGGGTGCTTTTTTTTTTTTCTTTTTTTTCTTTTTTTTTCAGAAGATCGACCGAGGGTGATCTTCCCGCGATGAGCGCCTCTCGATCTCTTCCCCACCCAATTACCGCTCCCAGCCCTCAGTGGCTGAATAGTGCACACATGTAACTGTTAGGAACCAGGGGCGTGGTCCCACCAGCAAAGAGGATCGGATCGAATGCCTGAATCTGGACGAGTTTATGGAGCGGTGCAGGAAATTGAGATTGAACTGCTTTTCTTCATCTCTGCATAAAACACATTCAGATTCGGGATCTTGATCCTATCCTCTTTGCTACCGTCTTCCCCCGAACATAACCCACCCTAAAAATGAATGTATACAAGCTATAGTTCCTGCCAGATAAAGCCAAAATGAGGGTGGGTTGTGTTGGGGGGACGACGGTAGTGGGATCTCGGCCCAGATGAGCAGAGCATAAGCTCGAATCCTACGATGTGACGCCCTCAGTAGACCTCGGATCCTGCCGACTGTGATAAACACAACAAGTTAGGTTTTTTTTTTTTTTTTTTTTTAACCAAACATCAAATCATTATAAAACCAATGAGAGAGGCCGGGGACCTCACAATTCAACCCGGGGTATCTGACAGCATCAGCCAGCTTAGCTTACAGGCAATTGCCTGCGGGACTCACCTCTATCCAGTCCCAAATCCTGTCGTAATGCTACTCCTTGAGACAGCAACTTGCAGCTCTAAGTAGTGGTCGGTCTGTGTAACAAACTTTGTGCACCTCTATCCCTGCCTTCACGTGGCGATTTCCTTTCGATAACTTTCTGGAGTTTGATGTAGCCTAACTCTGCGACTAACATGGCCCAGGGAACAGAGTCCTGGTCCTACTCTGGCACTCCCCTAAAGGCCTACTGTGGCCCTAGTAACCGAGTGGCCTGATTGAACCTGCGTCAAACACTACCTCTACCTTTTCAACCCAAACATTATCTTCCTGCTAAGCTATCTACTTCCGAGAGCCATTTGGACATCACCAGTCCTTTGCTAGCGTGAATCGCAGCCAGCCGATAGTTCGCTGTCCATGTGTGCATGAACCACCGGATCTGTCTCCTCCCCCCTCTGCCTGCCTTKGCCCTCCTTCTCCAATCCACACGAATAGCTTGTCTCAATCCCTTCTTAACTGCCCCCTTGATCTCCTTATCTGAAAAAGGTCTCTTTTGAAACCGGGATCTGTTGCGATCAGCCCAGATGATCTGACATATGATGCCTCTCACCACATGCGCTACGTAGCCCCAACCTCTACTCCCTGACGTGTGAGCAGGGAGAAAGCCCAGCAACACCCACTCCTCGTTCCACTCCACCCCTTGTCCTCCAAACTCCTTCCAGTGGAGGGACCACCATTTCCATATCCGTTTGGACGCTGGACACTCCCACCAAAGGTGCCTGGTGGACTCAAATGGCCACCTGCACCTTGTGCATCCCAGACTAACCTCCATTCCTTTGCTTCTCAGCCACACCGCCGACGGGGTTACCATGAGGGACAGCAGCCAGAGAATACTAACCTGTTTCCCGTTCGGTAGCGAGCACAGCGCTTTCCACAGACGTTCAAACTTCGGTGCCGCATCCGATAAATCCACTCCCCAGACGGCCTGCCAGCGGGGAATTGCTGTCTGGGCTGGCGACTTCAGATTGCCTTTTGACTGTTGGTAGCCATGCGCTACTGTGTAGTCTAGCAGCCTTACCTCCTCCGCATCTGTGTTCCTGGCAGCCCAACTCCATGCTGTCGGGTCTATGCATAGGCTTCGAAGAGGGACTCTTCCAACCCACGTTTAGGTGCGTTGTGCAGGGTCTTTGTGTTTTGCCTCTACCACCCTCGCTTGGGCAGGGTTATCCCATACCATCACCGTTTCTTCCTCTGCTCTGGACAGTAAGTTTGCCATGCCCTCACAGTACCATTTCTCCACCCGCCTGAAACCGCTGGGGAGGATCTCAATGACCTTCCATAGCACGTTGTTGCTTGGCTCCCAGTTTGGAACGTACCACGTGCCCGGAGGATCCAGACCCTCCGGGCCTAATAACAGCAGCCACTCTTGGGGGATCGCCTCTCTGATGCTCCTCCAATGGTCCTCCACCTGCTGCAGACTTTTAAGCACTTCTCTTATCTCAGACAACGGTTTCCAGCTTCCCAGTAGTGTGGACCAGAGGTCCTCAATGCGGACCACTCCTCTCTTGACCCAGGACTGCCCAAACGTACCTGCGGATCCGTCTGCTTTGAAGGGGGGTCCGTCTTGGTCCCGGATCTCTGGGTTGTCAAATAGCAGTTGGAGAAGCACTTCCTCCTTCGTGGACGGAGGATGCTGACTATCTGGGGGCATCTTGTTCCAGGCCCTCCTGATTGCCTCCCAGAAACGGGATTTCAATCTCCTCTTTCTAAAGGATGGCATGAACAGGCAGGCCCAGACATCCTTGGGTCTGGCCAAGTCCCATTCCTTCACAAGTATACGCTCCGCTAGGACCACCCAGTGTTCGCTTTGGCCCAAAGTAGCCACCTTCGCTACCCACCCTCTAAGCTGTGCCTGGTTTCTGCGCGCTGGGTCCAGAAGACCCAGGCCTCGTTCTGCCCGCGGGAAGGATAGAGTGTCCTCAGACACCCCTTCAATGAATCTGCTCCGACAGCGTGCTCGGCCGCAGGCATGTTGCAGTACGCAAGGCTGTATTACGAGGATGTACTCTCCACAAGACGCCCCCAAGATAATGTCAATTCGGATCTCTCAGCGTCCTCAGACATGTGGGACAGCACGTCGGTCCAGCTGGGTCCCACAACGAGGCTGGACCTAGACTGCCCGCTCACTGTAGAAGAGGTTACACAGACCCTAAAAAGAATGGCAAGGGGGAAGTCACCGGGAGTGGACGGACTCACAGTGGAATTTTATGCAGCCTATTGGGGGGGGTTCCGGGAATCGCTGGTGAAGATTTACAGCGAAGTGTTGACAGGCGGCAAGTTGGGAAAGGGGATGACACATGGCGTGATTTCGGTGCTATTCAAGAAGGGGGACAAGGCCGAAGTGAGGAACTGGCGGCCTATATCGCTGCTAAACGTCTCGTACAAAATCCTCGCAAAATCTCTAGCGCGAAGGCTCTCGAACCACCTCCCGAATCTAGTAGGAAAGGACCAAGGAGCCTTTGTGCAAGGCAGGTCCATTTTCAATAACATCGTAACAACAATTGAGGCGCTAGAGATAGTGCAGGACAAGAATCTAGAGATGGCGATCCTCTTGCTAGACCTAGAGAAGGCCTATGATAAAATCGGGTGGGCTTTCGTCTTCACAACGCTGAGAAAGATGGGATTTGGGAGGAACTTACTCGACGTCAGCAGTGATGATCAACGGGCATCTGTCCGCCCCCTTTGCCCTCACAAGATCACTCCGACAGGGGTGCCCGTTGGCCCCGCTCATATTCGTCCTGCAGCTCGAAGTACTACTCAACAAAATCCGCAGAAACCAAGTGATCAAAGGGCTGCGACTACACAGCGGGGAGGAATGCAAAGCGAAGGCGTTAGCGGACGACTTGTTCGTGATGAGTGAGAACACGAAGGCCTCGCTGTCAGCACTGAAGAACATTATGAAAGAGTACTCTGTCCTATCTGAGGCCACAGTCAATTGGAACAAATCCACTTACCTGCTGCCGGCAGATTTCAGACTAGAGGTGGAATGGGGGATGAAGAGAGTGGAGAGGGGTCAAGAGGAAAAATTTCTGGGAGTGCTAATCAGCCTCCAAATTGATAGGGAGTGATGCTACAGCAAAGGATCTCGGCCCGCTTGAGAATGTGGGGTTTGGCCTGGCATCTCTCAATTGTGGGGAGAGCTTTGGTTACTAATGTGGCCCTATACTCCATCCTCTGGTTTGTGTCCACTGTCAGGGAATTGGCTGTCGGAGTCTTGAAGGCAATCAGGAGGCTTGTTGCCAGATTTATTTGGAAGCCTAGAGCCAAACAGGAAGACTCATTCATATCAAAAGTTTTTTTTTTTTTTGCCTGCAGACGAAGGAAGAAAGGGAAAAAAAAAGAAAAAAGAAAAAAAAAGAAGGAAGAAAGGCGAGCGATGCGTGCATCTATTCCGTTCTGGCATTTCCTTTATGCAACTGACCAGGCCTACCTTGTTCCCTCGAATACAACGAACGGTCGTTATAGCTGTATTCGGGGTAAGTTTCAGTCTGAAAAATACAGCTATAATGACCTTACCTTGTATTCGGGGGAACGGCAGGTCGGCAATTCCGAATTGTGGTAATTTTACGCATCTGCGTTTTCAGTGGAGTTCGAACGCACAGGTCTGCATTTCAACAGGTCAGGGGTGTTCTGCCATTTCAGTCCACTGGCGGGAGACTCAAAATCAGCGCTGACAGAAGGGACGGGTCGGAGATGATGTCGCCCATCAGGGACCCGAGCACGACGAGAATGGTGAGAATGGTGGCACCCTTCGCCGCCCTCACAGACAACTCTCGAGAGCGTTGAACCCTTAACCTGAGTTTGAACTCAGACATATTAACTCGAGAGCGTTGAACCTGATGGGGAGAGAGTGTGGGGGAGAGAGAGTGTGGGGGAGAGAGTGTGGTGGAAGAGGGAGGGAGAAAGACACTCATAGATCTTAGACAGTCACTCTCCTCACATCTTTCTGCTTTCTCTGAGCATCCGAGCTAGCGATCAAACGAGAGAGAGAGAGAGAGAGAGAGAGAGAGAGAGAGAGAGAGAGAGAGAGAGAGAGAGAGAGAGAGAGA